ACTTGTATGCAGTTTCACATGTACTGGTGGGCTATTTTCCAATAATTACCATCATACTGGGCATTCATGGACAATGCTGGTGACTGCTGCTTCTTTAGTATATACTGGAAACCTTAAAAAGACTGTCTCTCAAGACTGTACCCTAAAATCTGTGCCACCATCGATATGGTGATATAAAAATCAAAAGGGGGTATTGTAACAGGGTGGTCCACTGTTACAAAAGAGGAGGTTGTTCCTGGTTCTCTGGAAAAGGGGAGGTTCCAGGTTCTCTGCCCCACCCAAAGGAGAATGGAGCTGAGCAAGGAAGAGAAGAATCTAGTGAGCAAACTGAAGGAAGCAGGATGGAGAGCCAGGAGGCCTGAGGGAGGCACATGGAGGAGAGACATGTGAAGAAGAGTTTTGTTTCATGGCCCTGGAGTTGTTGAAACAGATGTTGGGGGAGAGACCCGTGGGGAGGTTCACTATGGCAGCTTTTATCTTGATTTTGTACTTTTCCCGACTTGTCTGGACATTTCTCACCCTTTTCTATAGGTCCCTGACCGATGTTGCTTTAGACTTGGGGCAGGTTTTCAGGCCTTGCTTTGGGCCAGTCCATTTTGGGTGGACTTTTTACCCATGAGGAGATGTTACAGTAACTTAGGGTGCTTGATTTAGAAGCCATATTCCTTTTCTTTTCTGTATTGTTTACTAATTGTAATAAAGTTCCTTCCTATTAAAGGTCATAATTTGCTTTGTCCTGAAACAGCAGATGGCAGAACCTATTTAGAGCAGGTTTGGGGGTTCTAGAGTGCCATTCTTCTTGTCTGTAACAATGTTATTCGATCTCTTCTTATGTCACCTCACTTTAAATCCCTCCCCTTTGTTGAGCTTTTTCTCTAAGATTGACTAATGTATTAATTACCATATGTATGGAATGCATCAGCAATTTAGCCTAAACCAATTACCAGTCAATAATTTCATATTTTTTTAAGTTGAAATTCTTTTAAGTTGAAGTTGTGAAATTACACTTTCAAACATATTTTATGTGGTTACAGTAATGCAAGTGTATAACAGGGTAGTCCCCAGGAAAAGGGGAAGTTCCAGGTTCCTGCCTCCACACAGAAGGAGGGGGGAGCTGAAGAGAGAAGAGAAGGAATCTGAGGAGGAAGGAAGCAGGATGGAGAGCCAGGAGACCTGGTGAAGCCACATGGAGCAGCAAGCCATGTGATGCACAAATCGTTTTTGTTTTCTTAGTCCTGGACTGGCTGAAAGAGATATGGGTGAGAGACCTGTAGTGAGGTTGACTATGGCAGTGTTTATATTGATTTTGATTTTGCTCTTTTCCTTCCAGACTTGTCTGGCTATTTCTGACCCTTTTCTATGGGTCCCGGCCAGAAGGTGTTAGATTTAGAAATTACATTCTTTGTTCCGTATTGTATATTCACGGTATTAAAGTCCCTTTTCATTAAAGTCTTACATGTTTTGTCTTGATGTGGTAGATGGCAGAACCTATTTAGAGCAGATAGGTTTGGGGATTCAGGGGTGCCCCTCTCTCCCTGCCCTGTAACAAATGTACAAGACTATTCCATTTCCACCTAAAAACAGTTAGATAGGCCATAATTCTTTTTTTTTTAAACCATAAAGGCAATAAAAGTAATGCCAATTTTCTGTAACTACATTCACTCTCCAACACTATTTATGGTTGGAATTAGCATAAAACACTTTGCACTTTCTTGTTACAGAAGTCTAATTATAAAATACTTTCACACAGTGATTTTTAAGTACAAAAATACCTATAATGTAGCCTAAAAAACTCTAAAGTTCATAGGTACAATAAATAAGCCACATTCAAGTTGAGAACTATATTATTAATCATTCAGATTTATTTTAATATTCTAATTACTCAAATGAAGTTTTCAGAAATCCAGGAACTTTAATAAATAAAAATATAAGTTGTTAAGGTATCAGGCAACTCTAAAACCTTACGATGCTAGAAAAACAGTCACCAAGAAAGGTGACTGCAGCAAGAAGATTCAAAATGAAGGACCTAACCTGGAATCCTCAAAGTACAGAAGCGTTATGCCAGAATGGGATGAATCGCTCCCTACACCTTATCTATACAGGAATGCACAAGAATGCAGGTTCCACCCAGGTGGGAAGTAAGTTTCCCCTAGAATGGCAGTTTTAAGAACATGGTGCTGATTATGTTCTTCAACAACATCCGACTATTTGGGAGTAAATGTACGGTATGAAGTTCAATGTTTTATACAAATAAACACAGCTATAGATAGCCTTCAAGTAAGTTTACAGCCACCACAAATCAGAATTTTTAGTACTTGAAAATGACATTTAAACACTTGTTAAGCACTCTAATTTACTCTAGCAGTCCCTAAACTTTTTGTCAAAAATTTCAAGTAACCAACCATATTAAAAAGTAGAAAGATACCAAAACAACGAATCTTTTTTTCCCAAAACAACCAATCTTAATGCAGTTAGTTTAACAGAATACATCTAACATATATATCAATGTACTATCTTTGAGAACATTATCAATATAAAAAGTATTGATAAACTTTCATACTGTGTACTGCCGCGGACCAGCGCAGCAGGAGCAGGAGACAAGTTTCAGGGATGGCAATTCTGGCACAGGGTGGACAAGGATAAGGTTGAGTGACAGGCAGACATGACTTCTAGGAGTGCATATCTGAATGTAATTTATTTTCAAGAGTACAGAGCATTTATACAATTTTTCTTGGCAAGCAAATATAGGGGTACAATGATTCTTTCAATAGAAGCGTGACAGATAATACATTTTTTTATTGTTTTTGAGATGTCAGGGGCCAAGACCAACCTGGGGCCCTGAGAAACCATTGTGTATTAAAGGTTCAGTGATGCTAAACAAATACCCTACCTATCACTTTTGCCTTGCTAATCCTTTTAATTGCTCTCTCCATTCTTTTACAAGCCACCTGGTATACAGGAGTTAATAGAATTAAAGATTGTAGCAGAGTTTCTCAGAATTAAATCAGTATGGAGAACAGAGGAGGCTACATTCCTTTCAAGAGAATCATTAGAACGAAGCACAGTGTTCATAACATTTCTTTGGTTTAGTACGTTGTGTGTCAGCAGAATCAGGAAACAAATCAAAAGTTACAGTGACCATTCGAGAATCAGCCATTCTTTTATTCCTGGAGGGCCACGTATTCCTCCCGTGCCCAGTACCTTGACCGTGCCAAACTCTAAGGATTTCTCACTTGGGCGCCGCGGGAGGGGATGTGGCAGTGTACTATGCCATCAACATTCCATATGTAATTTTCACTTACAGTACATCAGTTCACACACTTAATTTTTGTTTTTCTTAAATTTTATCTCTTTATTTTGAAATAATTTTTGACAGAGATGCCCATATGATCTTCATCCAACTTCCCTAATATAATGTTAACATTTTGCTTAATTGTAATTAAATGGTCAAACCCAGAAAATATACATTGGTATAATACAATTGTCTGAACACAGGTCTTAAATGACTTTTATCAGATTTTTCTATTTATATCATTTTTATTTTTTTATATTTTAAACATCTGTGGGTTTGTTGTTGTTTTTTCACAATACAGTATTTCTCCTCTCAGTTGAAGTCACCACCACCAAAGTGCCCATAGTCCTAGACCACACTACACCATACTTCCTTAACCCACCCTTTTACTCTCCAGCTCTCCCTCCTTCCTTCCCCTTCCAGGCCCTCCTCAAGTATCCAATCTAAGTCTGCTTTCCAGGGTCAGTTTTACAGTTTTACAGTCTTTGTCTGATCCTTTGTTTGGTTTCTCTAGATTCCACATATAAATGAAACCATTAAGCATTCATCTTTCTCCTTCCCGCTCACTTCACTTAGCATAATCCCTTCAAGTTCCATCTATATTGCTGTCTTAAAACACACACAAAAAAAGGCTTCACAGGAATTTTAGCATTTACTATTGTTCTGTTTTACAAATGAGGAAACTGAGGATAGGTAAGTGATTTGCTAATTTTCCAAAGATACTAAGCAGTAGAGCCAGAGAGCATTTTAGTTGTGATTGTTAAAGAGTAAGCAGTTATTTCCAGTAACACACAAAAAAAGTCTGCTTTATATTCTATTAGAGTAGGATAATTTATATATAAGATACATGAAAGCACCTCGAACATTTTTAAGTCATTGGTAAACAAAGCTATTTAAGTGGAAAGTGTGTTATAAACTCAAGAGACTGTTATTACAGTGTATTACATAACCCAACTTCTTCATTAGATTAAATGTAAATGCTTAAATCTGTATGAGAGAGAAGCTAAAGGATTTGTCAAAATCAGATAGCTCCAGGCAAGGGTAGAACTAATACTAGAATTACCTTTATACTACTTTTAAAATAAGAATATTCATTTTGTAATGAAAGCATAACATTGCAATTAAAACCAACTTTGACATCAATTATTTGCTTGAAGAACTGTTTTGGTATGAAAGGTATAAACCAAAGGTTTAGCCTTTGAGACCCCTAAAGCAGAGGATTGTGCTTTTTAACATTTGTGTCTAACATTTGGGGTAAGTTAAATGACTCATCCATGATTTCTGATTCATAATCAAATAATCTAAGCCAACTCTCATGATCCCAACAATTCTCCTGTAAAATTCAGATATTTCTTAAAGAAAGTGATTTACTATAATGCACATATGCAATGGTGGTACTTTCCAACAGCTGTAAAGGCACAACAAAATTTCTCACCTCTTCTATTTTCAAACACTTTCCACACAAACTTTTTAACTCTAATTTCCAATATCCATCACCTGCTATGAAACCTTGGGCAAAAAATACTACCTAACCTCTCAATTAATTTTCTCACCTGCAAAAGGGGGAGCAGATATGGACCCTTTAAACATTGAAAGACCTCAGTGACATAATGCATTCTCAAGTATTTACAGCAGTATTTACCAATTTCCCAATACAAATTATGTTTTCATGGCTGTGACTGTGCTGTTTCCTAGTCCATTTCTCCTTTCTTTTAAAATAGGAAAACACATGAGAACCAAATAGCTAACATTTCTTTCTGAAGCATAAATCAATTTGCTTGCCCTTGAGTGAACAAATGGCCCAGTCACAAGTGGTTTCTCTTCCATGAACAGTTTCTTTTCTTTCTGATATCACAATAGGACCTAATATGACTTCACAAGCTGGGAGCATCTACTGTTTTTTACAATAAATATATGTCTGCCATATTACTTGAGTGGCTTCAATTAACTTTTAAACAAGCTGTGGTCTGGGTGTCAGAATATCTTAATGTATGCTATTCTTAAATTTTTCATCTCATTTGAAGTCAAATTAAAATAATGTAATAAAATAGGCCTCAATTCAAAATATGGCTCAACCACATATTAGTTATGTCATCTTTGATAAATTAAGCTCCCGAAGCCTCAGTTTCCATGTGTGTAAAGTGATGAAAACCTCTACATTTCACAGAATTGGATGGATTAAATTAAATTACATATCACTTGGCACAGACTAACAAATAGTATACAATAAATTACTGACATTATTATTACTAGTTTCAGAAAAGAAGCAGTACAAGCAACACTTCTGATATAAGAAGCAACACTTCTTTTATTTCTAATTTCTTATAAAGACCTATTTTGTAATTTTATTTCTTTTTATTTCATAATTTTAAAATTGGAAAATAAAATTAGTATTATAGGTGAGATTGCATTGCTCTTTCTCTAGTATAAAAAAAATCAAATATAATCATGGACTCTGCAATTAAAATAAGCTCGTAGTGGGGCCTCCCTGGTGACACAAGGGGTTAAGTCTCAGCACTCACAAGCTATAGTAGCCACAGTAGCAAGAGTTCGAAGCCCTCCCCCCCCAGGACTGGGAGCTAACTCACTGGAGCTGCAGAGCTCTCCAGACTCACCAGCTGCTTCCCCTCAGTAGTGTATTTCAGTAGATCTGCCTGTTCTGCTCCCCACTTCGTCTCTGGCCTACACCCTCCTATCACCACCCGCCACTCCACACTGCTGGCCTAACCTTCTCCTGTATGCATGAATAAATAAAATTAATCTTTAAAAAAAAAACTTGTAGCTAAAATAGCAAAAAAATTTAATTTTTTATCAAGTTCCAAACTGAAATAAAACTATGCAATCACTACGACACCTCTATAATACAATGTACTATTTAAGGTTAAAAGTGATTTCAAATTAGGATTCAAATATCCAAATTGAAAATGCAATTATAAAATATCCCAAACCGCATTCATTACCCAGAAATAAAATTACTGGGAAAAATACACCTCTAAAACATTTTTATGATGTGATGATTAAATACACTATGCCGCAAATGAATATCTGAATAGAAAGATTTCTATATGAAACCGAATCTGTTTTATAATTACTTAACTTCTTCCTTTTATATTCTCCTTCAAGTTAATAATATATAAACATTATATAAGTTTACTAACAACACTGGGCTGATCTTAATAGATGACAAAGAACCTTAAAATTCTAATTTGAAATGTACCACTCTTGTTATAAAAAAAAAAAGTGCATCGAAATCAACTTGCTCCTCCTAATATGGAATTATGGTGGCTTCTAGCGTACTGACAACAGTTGCATTCCTTGCCAGTTTCACATTTGCCTGAAACCAAATTCACTCGCATCCATACAAACTATTATGGAACAGGGTCGGGTTTTGTCAGCAGTGACACCCAGGCTACAGGGAAAAGAGAAAACAGCCAGCACTAAGTACACCATAACATTCGGTCCCAGGTTTTACTTAGCACTGTGAGGATACCATCAGCAAAAGTGAGTTCCCCAAGCCTTTCTCCCCCTCTTCCTGCGTCTCCGACCTCAAATGACTGATGTCGTTTAGTTCTTCCTCACCTAGAACACCTACGTAACCTCGCCCTTTCCTCGACACCGCCCACCACCTTCAAAGGACTACGGGTGTTTGTACAGAGGCTCCTCCACATTGCACATAATCCACGCCCACACTCCAGGGCCGAGCTGCATGACACTGACAGTTTTCAGTCTCCCGATCTTTACAACTCGTGGCTCCTACGCAAAACTCCAGGCAAGCACAGATGGGAGGAACACACACTGCGGTAGCTTGGCGTCGGGTTCTGACCCTTCCCCTCGACATCGGTGGACCAAATTGGAGCCGATGCCCAACTCCACCCACTTACCCCCAGAATCTCCGAGAACAGGGCTGAGAAACCACCCTGCCTCCGGGTAGAAAAGGATCTCCAGCACGCCAAAGCCACCCCAGTCACTGTGCTGAAAAATCCCGGAGTGCAGAAGGCGAGATCGGGTCAGCGAGCACCAACGCGCGAGTTTCACCAGCCGCCGCCGCAGAGCTCTTAGGCCACTGGGCACCGGGCGGGGAGAGCAGGGCGGGGGCACCAGAGCGCATCTGCCGGGGAAAAGCTCAGCACTCCTCCCCTCTGCCGAACCCTCCCACTTACCCTATTTCTCTCCTCTTGAGCACCCTACCTTCCAGAAGAGGGCAAAGCCCGGCGCTGGCGCCCACCCCGGTCAGCTTCGGCCGCCACCGCGCAAGCCGCCCCCGGAGCAGGCAGCAGCCTCCACTGACAGAGCGGAGGGCCCAGCCAACTCCTTCCCATCAAACCCCGCGCTCCCGCCGCCGGCCAATCGGCGCCGCGGCCGACGCGCGCCGCACCCCCGTCACGTGACTGTGACCCAGGCGGACTGTTGGGGCGGGCGAGCGGACGAGCGGGCGAGCGGGCGAGCGGGCGGTTGGCTTGAGGGCGCCAGCCCCTGTGGCATCGGCGGCCAAATAGGCTGTGTCGCCTCGCAGAGGGGACTGTTACTTAGCACTCTTACCTATGCAGTTATGTCTTAGCCTTCCTCTGCCTCCGTTTCATTTAAAGCCTGTTGTGCCGAGAACGGCTAAGAGAAAGAAAACCCAGAAGTTGGTCCTGGTAGTCCCAGACGGCGAGAAAGAGCGGGGTAGAGCGTGGACTTGGGCGCGTCCGGAAGGAGCCGGCCCTGAAGAGTCCGGATCCGCTGTCATCTAGCTAGCGGCAAAGCGAGTTAAAACTACATAGCTTAGAAGAGCCCCGTTCTCAAGTCCATGGAGAAAATTCAGCCTAGACCCCAGGCGTGCTTGAGGCTTATCACGCGTGGACGTCAAAAAGGGTCTTTTGATGAGTGGACGCTTACCTCACCGGGGTGTGGTAAGCTTCAAATGTCAAAAATTGTTGATTTCAAATCTCTGGATAAGCACATAAGCTGGGTTTTCTAGGTTATAACTCTTACCTCAAGAGCACCCCCTTCACAGGTCTTGCATGATACACGGGCCCACGAATAAACCACCCACACTATATTTGACTCAGATTTGAAACTTTGCCTAAAAAGTGTTACGTTTCCAAATCAACTGGGAAAGACTAGTGTAAATAACAAATGATACTCGGCCGAAAAAAATACTAGAGATAGGCAAAAGATAGGAAAACGTTTTAGTTCTGAGTGCAAGCATGTTTCATGGGATTTTCCTGTTTTATTTACACATATTAAAAGTTTTCCTCATTTGTAAGGAGTATACTTGTTTTAATATGCTATGTTTCAACTTTGACAGGCAAACAAGTTTAGTAAGAAAATATGTAGTTGGAAGAATAATTATACTGAAACTACCAGAAAATTCATTGTGAAAGTGCTCATCTTACCTGCAGAAAAATCTTTTTTTACAGCTTTTAAAATGTGACAGGATGTTCTTCAGCCACTTTGCAAATGGAGAAGAAAATGAAAAACTTTTCTTTTGCTAGATGAAATTTAACCATTTGTTTTTTCAGCCTTTGCTATCTTACAGTATTTATTTAAAAGGAAATTACTGTGCAATTATGCAAATGCATCTCACCTCGGATCTCCTATAAAAAGAAAGAATGTGATTTAGTAATTTATTCTCTAGTTTTAATTTAGTCATCAAGGCCTATTATAAAGGGAGGATACAGAGAAGAGCTAAGGGATGCAAAAGATTCCAAAAACCTAATTCTGGAACAAAATGTTCTAGGGTATTGAGGAGAGAATTTGGCCTGGTGAAAAGGAAGACAAGCACTATATCATTAACCCTTTTAATCCCCCCAACAGCCTTTTAAAGTAAGTGTCATTTTCAAATAAGGCCAGTAAAGATTATGCACATTGTTAAAAGTAACACTGTGTCACTGCCTCCTTTATGTCAAGTGGTAAGAGTTTGTCCGGGCATTAAAGTAAGGGAACACATTACAAGCAGAAAAATCAACATGTATGCACTATCTGGCTACAGGCCTGAGAGATCATTCCAAATATTTACAAGACCCTGCATGAAGGATAGGGGTGAGGATAGCGTTATATGCTCTAAAACAACTGAAACTAGTGAAACAAACCATAAAAAAAAAAACCTTATAGTGCTGTAATAGAGGCAAGTTCAAAAGATTGCAAAATGATAATGCAACAGCAGCCAGAGGCATTATGGGAAAGCCAAAGAAAATCACCCTTAAGCTTAGAGTTCAAGTATTGAGTCATTCACTACCAATTCTAAAATTGTTCTACCATAGCATCTCAGGAAGTAAAATTTAAAACATACCAGAGAGGGTGAGAAAGGAAACAAACTGTTATAAGCATAGGACTTCTAGTAGGTCTAATTCAACAAATAGATGAGTCACATTATTCATAGAAATAAATGAAAATTGCAAGAGAGAAGAGGTGTTATTTCATCTTACTATAGACTTATTCATTGATCTGGTCTGAAAAGTATTGGAAGGCTTCCTTGAGCAAGTCACACTAACAAATATGAAACAAAAAAGGAGAAAACAAAACGGATTGTGAAGACCTTTTGTCAAAAGGAAGCATTGGCAAATCTGAGGAACAAAATGGAAGTAATTATGGCTAAAGCACTGACTGCCGGGAGCTATAGTATGAAGCTGGAGACCAACTATGCAGGACTTCACTGGCCACATTCCTTCTCTGTCCATATTCCTTCTCTGTCAGTCTCCACTCCATATGGAGTGGAGAAGATAGGAGAAAGGGATTCATAATGCTGTCACTGATATATGGGGAACACTGAAAGAGGGCTGGTTTGGGGAGAAGATGGTGATTTTAGTTTGGAAAATGTTGAGTTAAAGACTTCTTTTGTGACTTCAAGGAAAATTGTCTTGTAAACAGCTGTGCATCAGCAACTGAGAAGTCTGAGCCAGAGAATAAAAATAGTTTATAGTTTGTAATCTGTCCTTTTTCTCAAGGCACTTATTTTTTTCAAAATGCAAATAATATAAAAAATTATTATTTTAACTACATTGTGGAAAAACAGAATCAAAGTGCAAGTCTCCAGAGACTTCTCTGAATATCCTTTATTGAAAATACAAACTCTCAGATCCCTTCGCAGGAGATTCTGATGTCAAAATAAGGCTCAAAACTTTCGGTTTGTAACATGTGCCAGGATTTCTATCAAGTTTCTCAGGAACTGATAATCCAGTGCCCCAACCTGCAAGCATGAGAGTTATCTGAGGAGCTCATTAAAATAACAACTTTTGCACCCTATAGTGGTAAATGGTACAGATATGTCACCCTCCATCTTTGACAGAGATCTCCAAAGCTCTATACCAAACAATTCAGTGAAAAGCTGCTGTTCTTTGCTGGATAATGGATACATTGATAATTGGATGCGCTTTTAGGCTACTGTGATAACAGCTTTCTGGCTTCTAACCCAGGCCTCCTGCCCTGTCCACTGAATGCCACTCAGCTTACGCACATGGTCTTTTTCCATCATTCCTATCATCCTGGAAGCTCATCCTTCCCTTCCTGGCCCCCAATTAATTACCTTCAGAGTTTGCTCCAATAATGTGTCTTTCTATTCCCTCCAATTGAGGGGCAGTTGTGTTTTGTTTGGTTTTAGCTAATCTGACTAAAGCTGGAAGGAAAATAAAGTCAAATGCTCTCAGCAAAGCTTTTTATTTTTTCATTCTAGAATCTACTTAGGAAGTATTTTTTTTTAAAAAAAGATTTATTTATTCGTACGGAATTGGGGTACAGGCTAGACATGTGGATGGTGAGAGGATTCACCAGAGACAGAGTGGGGAGCAGAACAGGCAGATCGACGAAGTACACTGCTGAGGGGAGCAGCGGGCGGGTCAGGAGAGGTCTGCCACACCATGTGGTCACTTCTGGGGCAGGCAGAATCGAACTCATGCGGAAGTGGCTTTAGCTTCTCAGTGCTGTGCTTTAACCCGCTGCACCACCAGGGAGGGCCTAAGTATTTTTGTTTTTAAATGCTAAGTTATTTGTTGTCTTTGTAGTCTTCTGGTAATACCCCTAAGTGTCTATGAAACTATAATTTCTCCTAAGGAAAGGATCATGAAGTGTGGGGAGAAAACAAGAAATTAAGAATTGTGTGTGTATTAGAACATAAGGCAAACACTTAGGAAAGTTTATAAAGCAAAAAATGTACTTCGGGCCCTCCCTGGTGGCGCAGCGGGTTAAAGCACAGCACTGAGAAGCTAAAGCCACTTCCGCATGAGTTCGATTCCCGCCTGCCCCGGAGGCGACCACATGGTGAGGCAGACCTCTCCTGACCCGCCCGCTGCTCCCCTCAGCAGTGTACTTCATCCATCTGCCTGTTCTGCTCCCCATTCTGTCTCTGGTGAATCCTCTCACCCTCCGCATCTCTGGCTTGTACCCCAGTTCTGTATGAATAAATAAATCTTTAAAAAAAAAATGTACTTCGGCCCTCCCTGGTGGCGCAGCGGGTTGAAGCACTGCACTAAGAAACTAAGCCACTTCCGCATGAGTTCGATTCCCGCCTGCCCCGGAGGCGACCACATGGCGAGGCAGACCTCTCCTGACCCGCCCGCTGCTCCCCTCAGCAGTGTACTTCATCCATCTGCCTGTTCTGCTCCCCATTCTGTCTCTGGTGAATCCTCTCACCCTCCGCATCTCTGGCTTGTACCCCAGTTCTGTATGAATAAATAAATCTTTAAAAAAAAAAATGTACTTCTTAAAATTTATAAACCACCTGAGTAAAGAAATAGAACATTACTAACACCATAAAAGACTCAGATATGCCCCATTCCTTTTAACCTCCCAGAGTTAACCACTATCATGATTATTATCATGTTCATTTTCTTGCTTTTCTGCCTAGTTACATTCTTAAATAATTTGTGCCTATTTTTAGATTCTAGGAAAATAGTATCATTTTTCACATTTAAAATATTTTTGATCAACATATGTCTTCTAAGATTCATGTTGATATGACTTATTTAGTCATTTTCATTGCCAGAAGTTAATACAGTATATGGATATACCACAATTTCTTCTACTGTGAATGAACATATAGGCTGTTTCCAGCTCTGGGCTGTTATAAGGAGATATGTGTGTCTGTGTGTTGTGTGGCACATGCATACAGATTTCTGTAATTCCTGGTTCATAGGGTATGTATGTCTTCAGCTTTGCAAGCCTATTCCCAAACTATCCAAAATGATTCTATCAATTTATAAAACTGACATTGCAACCAAAAGTAATATGTGAAAGTTCCTATCACTCTACATCCTCATCAATACTGAGTTGTCAAGCATTTTAATTTTTGACTGTTTAATGGGTGTGCATTTACAACTTACTGTAACTGTAGTGTGCATTTCCTACTTTATTAATGAGGAATACCATTTTCCATCTCCGTATTGACTTCTTATTCAAGTATTTTCCCATTTTTCATATTGGTTTACTTACTGATCTATATTAACTGTATACTAAAATGGAAACACATCTTTGGTTGTATGTGCCACAAATATTTTTCCCACTCTGCTTATCTTTTCATTCTTAAGTGTTTTGATGAAAAGAAATTCTTAATGGATTTAAATTTAAAGGACTCTGTATCATGTTTCAGGAATCTTTCTCTTGCCCTAACGTCATTAATATTGTTATAGTTGCTAATATTGTCAATAAAAAGATTTTTTGTTTTGACTCTCAAATTTAGTTCTGTCAATAAAGAGATTTTTTGTTTTGACTCTCAAATTTAGTTCTGTCAATAAAGAGATTTTTTGTTTTGACTCTC